TCGCAGAAGTTAGGCTCTAAAGACTTTTGGAAAATCTTCAACAGCATTGTTAACAAGGGTAGATCTAACATTCCATCTCTCATTCATGGGATTGATCTTGTTACCTCTCCCAGGGATAAGGCAGAACTGTTTGCAAAGAACTTTTCTTCTAATTCCACTCTTGAATCTTATGGACATTCTCTTCCTTCCATTCCAGTCAAACAGGTTGACCCATTGTTAGACATTCAAATCACTCCGGCTTCTGTTGCTAAAGTCATATCTCAATTAAACTTGTCTACAGCTTGTGGTCCAGACAACATTCCTGTCACAGTCTTGCAGAATTGTTCTCCAGAACTTTCTTCAATTCTCTCTAAACTATTTAACAAGTGTTTGACTGAGTCTTGTTTTCCTGCTTGTTGGAAAATGGCATCTGTGGTTCCAATATTCAAAAACTCTGGAGAAAATTCTGACCCCTCCAATTATCGTCCGATCAGTCTTCTTTCTGTTATTAGCAAGGTCTTTGAGTCTTTAATCAACAAATTCCTCACATCTCATCTTGAGTCAAATAAACTGCTGTCAGACAATCAATACGGTTTTCGATTCTCTCGCTCTACGGCCGACTTGCTAACTGCTGTAACTGAAAGATTTTATCGTGCATTAGATGGAGGCGGTGAGGCTAGGGCTATTGCTCTCGACATATCTAAAGCTATCGACAAAGTTTGGCATGCTGGTCTTCTTCATAAGCTTGCTTCATATGGTGTTTACTAATACCAGAGCAAAATTAAGTTTTGCTCTGGTATTAGTAGTAGTTCAAAACTCAATGTAACCACACGTCATTGATGTGCATAAGTTTCTGTTAAATTATCTCAATCCTGTTTATTAATCTTGCAATAGAAAATTGAAAAAATTTGAAAAAACTCCATCAATTGCAAAAATAAGTACTACCTGAACACAGTGGTTGGCCCCAAAAAGTTGGCCCCAAAGGCTATGCAGGAATCCCGTTTGGACTTATCATTATTTATCCCAGAAGGGCCTTTTTTTTGAATTTTTATACCCTTTACTGCATTCTGAAAATGATTCACAAATGATATTTATTTGCTTTATTTTTTTAACAAATCTCTGATTCAAATTGTTGGACTTCAAGCACATATATATTAGTATTTTCCGTAATAAAATGCAACCGTTTGTAACTTTTTCCTCAAAACAAAGTCGACATTGGAAAATTGATTGTTACGTCACTTAAATCGCTTATTAGGCCGGGTGAATAAAAATTAGCAATTGCTTTTACTCAGTAATTGGTCAGCTTTACGTGAATAAAAGTTTCACCAATTTTGGTTTAGCTAAATAAGTTTTTATTTAAGTTGAGCTGAACAATTTCTGAGTGAATTGCTTAACTTTACGTGAATAAAAGTTTGAGGAAAACAGCTAAAGTTTTTACTCACTTAAAGCTGACCAAATTTGAGTAAAATCAATTGTTCATTTTTAATCACCCGACCTATTATATCAGTCGTTATATAGATAAAACTATTTAAGTTAGCCAATGATTATTAGTGAAATAATTGAGTTTAATTTTATGGAAATTGAGTTTAATTTTAATTATGGAAAAATATTCATATTGAAAAAAATTTTGTTGAATTAAAACCATTGTTTTTTCATAAACAAAAATCGTAATGTTTTTAAATATAATTTATATTTAAAAACATTATATAACATAAATAATTTGTGTGAGTTTTTATAAAACTGCTCTTTTTCTATGTTCTACAGATATTTATAAAAGTTGTTAAATATTTACCAATAAATAAATAAAGCATTTTATTTCTATTTGAAAGTATTCCGGATTCATTCATTTCAGGGACCGAAATACGTTGTAACTAATATTTAACATTATAAACTTTTGTAACCAATTTTTTTCAAAGAACATAGTTGTAAATTCTGTGTTTATTGTAATTATAGCTTTTTTTTTTTAAGATTTGACATAATATGAAAAATGTTAAAAATTGTATACATTCAATTTGAACTTCAAGTTGATAAGACCGTGAGGACTTCTTGGGGCACGTAAAAAAAAAATTGTAGTACCGTCTCTTGTACTAAGGGTTGTATTTTATAAATAATTTTTCATCACTTCTCTATGGCTCAAGTTGTTCCATATAGCACACATTTTTTTTCGTGAGCAAAGATTTATAAATATCTTTAAATTAATAGTTAAAGTAATTATATATATCTATAAATTTTAAAAATGTAACTCAATAATGGTACAGTTATTTTGTCATATTACTAAATTATAGCCGGCATTATTTTGTTTACTTAGAAAAGTCACTAGATAAAATGCCAATTCAAACAAAACCAAAGTGTGTGTATATATATATATAAATATATATATATATATATATATATATATATATATATATATATATATATATATATATATATATATATATATATATATATATACATATATATATATATATACAAATAGTATTGCGTACTTTGGTAAGCAATCTGACGTCATACTGAAATAGCCGGCTGTTTTCGGGGCTTCAGTACATACAACGACTGACAAATAGCCTGACTCGCAGTGAAGTGCTGCTTCATCAACTGAGGGTTTGGGATGGGGAAGCAATCATTTTATTTATTATTCTTTGTTTTTTTCTTCTTCTTTTTCGAAAAAAACGGTTTACCTTAAAGTAAGTATATATATATATATATACTTACTTTAAGGTATATATATATATATATATATATATATATAGTAAGTATATATATATATATATATATATATATATATATATATATATATATATATATATATATATATATATATATATATATATATATATATATATATATATATATATATATATTTAAATATATATATATATATATATAAATATATATATTTAAATATATATATGTATTTATATATATATATATATATATATATATATATATATATATATATTTAAATATATATATATATATATATATATTTAAATATATATATATATATATATATATATATATATATTTAAATATATATATATATATATATATATTTAAATATATATATATATATATATATATATATATATATATATATATATATATATATATTTAAATATATATACAATTGTAAAGCTTCAAATCAAGCATATTTATCGAAATCCTGCATATATGGGCCTTTTTGAAAAAATCCTGCATGTGCTTTTTGGAACCAGCACGCCCATGTCTGAACTTCTTGAGAACAAATGTGAAGCTTGAAATTTCAAATAAAACATGTTGTTTTAAACCATGGCCATGAGTAAAATCAGTGTTTTTATCATACTTCATCTAATATCTAATACTAGTATATATTGCTCTAGAGTATGATATTGCTTAAGCAAATTTGCCTGAATCAATAATTCAAGATTGCTGGCTGATGATATAAAAACTTGTTTGTATCTTTCACAATTTACTAAATTGCAGATTTCAATTGATGATAACAATTTTTAATAGGCTTTTGTTTTCATTATCAAATGCTTTTTATAAAGGTATCTCTTGCAATCTTTGTAAATTGGTAGCAGTTACTACTTTTAACCAATGTAACTGAATGTCATTAACTGGTGCCATCAAACTCTTTTGTTGGTTTTATAATTAACTAGCAATAAGCAACCCATAATACGAGTTGTTAGTAAATAAAATTAAAAAAAAAACTACTATAAAATAGAAAAACTTATAAAATGATGAAGTCGACTGTTAACTACTACTATTAAATTAGCGTATTATTATTATTAGATAATTCATAAAGGTCTTTAATTTTTCTTCAGTAAAATCAAGTGTCTTATCTATAATGATAAACATATTTGATCCACTCAATAAATGTGAGATCTATCTGGCATCATGATTTTCTCCAGAATTTTTGCATATTTTAGGTTCTGGTCCCCTAAAAGATAAAGTGTTGGTTCTCCAGCTTCCTTATAATCATCTTTTTGATAATTACATTTTACTTGTTTTTTTAAGAATACATAAGATTTGTCTGGTGGTCGTTTTAAGGAAAGAATTATCTGGGATCTAGGGATTTGTTTTTCTAAGCAAGTTCATTCTATCTAAAAAATTTTGAAATCTATAACAAGAAAATCTTTTTCTTCATTTGTCAATAAAGTGTTCCCAAGATCTAAAATTGTGATGGTCGCAAGCCAGCAAAAAAGTAGTTTTTATTAATTTGTATTTCTCTAAAATAGTTATAGCTCTATTTTTAACCCTTGTATTGCAAGTAGTAGTTTTAAAAGCATGGGCAACAAATTTGAGATCTGTTTCTTCTATATCTTCTAAGAAAACAAATTATTATGCCTATTAGGCATATTATATATATGCCTAAGAAAACTGTGATATGAATGCAACACTGTATATATAGATATATGTGCAACCCTTGGAATTAGAGTCAGCATTTGGCTATGTCAACATAACTGCTGATCTAAAAGGTTACCTAAAAGGTCTGACCTCGTTTTTATGTTTTATGGTAAGATAAATTTTTTTTGCCAACCTGCTGCCGACTTCTAAAAGATTGAGGTCAGGAAATTATTGCCGACCTCATTTTTCCAATTTTGAGGGTTGTATGTGTGTTTGTGTGTATGTATATGTGTGTGTATATATATGTATGCATATGCACAACTGTAATTTTTCTTCATTAAATTCTGTTATAGTTATAGTATGATATTTTTAAAGTAGAGACGGTAGTTGGAATTTTTGAAGCTCAAGTTTTAGGATAGAAAAATATGAGTTCTTGGTTTAATATGGTTAAATATGGTTTGTATATATTAGTATATTGATATTGGTTTTGAAAAAAAAAGGCTTTAGTATACTGATATCATATAAGAAAAAAAAAACTAACATTTAAATTAGTAATTTGAATAGGAATTAGAATTGACAATCATTGAATTATCAATCATTGAAACATCTATGCCAACTAGAAGTTTATATATATTTATATATATTTATATTTTTATAAATAGTTTTTATATATTTGTTTTTTGACTTTTTTTTAGTGTTAGCAAATAATTCTTGGACAACATGGAGTAGCTATAGTGATTGTTCTGTATCTTGCGGTTCTGGTACTAGTTCTCGAAGTAGAATTTGTTATTCACCTTCTAATAATCTTCTAACCCAAGGCTGCATTGGAAATAATACTGATGTACAAATTTGTAACAGAGGAAATTGTTCACGTAAAAAAATTTTACTTTTGCTTTAAAATATTTTTTTTTTGTCTAAACAGTATGCTAAAATTAATATTTAAAAAATTCTGTCATTTTTGTAATTTTCAATTTTTTTAGAATCATGTTTTGTAAACACAAGCATAGTCTGCTCTAATGACTCTCTGTTAGTTAATCCTGATGACTTAAAACAAGTAATACAAGACACAGCACAAGTGATACAAGGTGTAAACAACACAATGGCATGGTGGGCAATGGCTGTTCAAAACTCTTATTTTGCCAGTAATTTGTTTTCTTTTTTTTTTTTAAACACTTTTTTAAAATATTTAATAGGGTGACATAAAATTTTTAGTTTAAAATAAAATAAATATCTACGTGGTTACTAATATTATACATTCATATGCACGTAACCTTATAATGCCATTATAATATTTACAATGTCTAAAATAGTATTTTTTATTACTTTATTTTTGTTAGAACTTTAAAGTTATGTAAAGTAACCTAGGGCTTGTGATGAAGCGAGCGCGATCGGGCTCTGCTCATAAAACGCGCCCGTAAACAGTATTTTTAAACGTTCTAGGCGCAATAAACAATGCTCGTTCAGCTTATAACGAGCGTATAAAATAACGCTCTAAGAGTTCCAAGAGTTTGAGACAAAAAAAGTAATAAGTTATTTTTTTTATGGAACGTGCTCGTGAAAACACAATGCGAATATAAAAATGTGTAAATAAAATAAGAATATAAAATTAGAAAACCGTTATAAGAAAATTGAAACTGGTTTCAATTTTCTTATAACAAAAATTAAAACTACAAGTTCTAGTTTCCTTTTGAAAAGGTAATTATTCTATTTGCTTTTTTTTTTTTTAAGAGATCATTTCAAAAACTATTTTGAATAATCCTCAAGAATCTTTATTGTAATTTTTTAACAAAACTAAATATCGACACCATACATTTATAACACCTTAAAACAGCATACATTTATAACATCTTCGAAAAAAAAAAGGTAGAACATGTTGCGAGTGTACATACATCAACTGACTAAAAGAATATACATGAATATACATATAAAAGAATACTCTATGATGCTTACTCTATGGTACGTTAATGAAAAATACTTAAGTCTTCCTGGTTCAAAACTAATTTTTCTTTTTAAATTTAAATAGTTATAAATTCAAAAAAGCTAAACAATTTTGTGTCAAAATTATCATTACTATTATCAATCAAATATCACTATTAACTTACAAATAAAGTGCTGCTTAAACTCTTTTTCTTTTAAGGATTTTTTCAAAGTTTTTAAATTTATTGTTATAAGAAGCATTTAACTATTTTAATTTTGTCTACAAAATGGTGATTTGACCTACGGGTTAAGTCATATGTTACGCCAACACTTTTTCAATTAGTACTTTTTAAGCTTAGAAAGTTGTCATAAGCTTTTATTTGACTTTTTTAATAACAAAACGGTTGAAATAATAATTTTTTTAATAACAATTAAAAAAAAAAATTGAGAAAGATGCAATTTAATGGTACAACATGATGTACATTAACATGTCATGCATGCTGTATGTTGATATGATGTACATACTCTACTGTTGACATGATGTACATACTGTGTCATTGTATGTACATGTTTTACTGTTGGATTTTCATTTTATATTTTTGACACAATATGCAAACTGTTGACACATGTCTGTGCGCTTTAATACATAATAAAAATAATGACAATAAAACACATTTTTTACAGTTTCTCAGTTATAAAACTTTTTTTCTTTGTCTGGTGTGTATGTGATGTTTAGTGTTTAGTGAAAGTTTAAAAACAACTACAGTTTTAATTTTTATTTAGAAATATCATCCAGATCATCTTTTAAAAATCAAAAAAAATTTTTGTAAAAGAATAATCTGAAGTTTATTTCCTTTATATTTACATATATTTATTTGTCTTAATTTAACTTTTAACTGATGGTTTTCTTAATTGTTTATAAACATTTCTTTTTTTTGAAATCACAATAAGAAGAAAAAAAGTTTTAATTTTTTCTTAGCGAGTCTTTCAGTTAAAACTAAAGATTTAATTTTTTCTAAGAAAAAAAAGTAAAATTTTTTTTAAGCAGGTTGTTAAAAAGCTGTTGTTTTTTTTCTCTCAAAAAGTGTAATGCATAAAGTGCTACGCTAACAAAATTAGCGATTCCAGAGTACAACTAAAAACATTTGATGTTTAAAAAAAAAAAACATTTCATAGATGTCAAACTTATCTCATCAAACTTTTCAAACTAATTGAGTCAAAAAATTTCGAAGTTCTTGCTTAATTAAGAATTAATTAATTGCTTAATTAAGAAAAAAAAAACTGTTCTATTCTTTTATCTTTTTTTATAATTAAGCAAGAAATTTGAAGTTTTTTGAATCAATTAGTTTGAGTCAACTTTTTCATCTATAGAAAGTACAAAGTACTAAGTTTTCATCTAAGTACTAAGCTTTATATGGTTTTATATATTATTATTATATTATATGGCTTTATTTATTATTATTATTATATTATATGGCTTTATTATTATATTATTGTTATATGGCTTTACTTATATATTATTTATTATTCATGTATTAAGACCAGTGTTAGTAAAAAAAAAAACTTGTTGCGGTATTATTTTTTTAAAGAAATTTTTGAAGGTAAGGTTTCCTAAGTAACAAAACACATCAAATTTGTTTAAAAATTTCCATATCAGTTAAAAAAGGGATGAGGAATCTAATGAAATGGAGAACCTTTTTAACATTTATACATAATTTCTTAGTTCTTAGCATTTAAAAACTTTAAGGTCGGTTCATTTTAAAAAAAGGTTCCCTGTGAAAAAAGCAACTATAGCCTTTCCTCTATTCAAACCAAAGTATTTATTTATGCTTTCTTGAAGGAACGGTACTTAAGAATTTTTGTGCAGAAATTATGTATATTATGTTGTTTTTTTTCAATGTCTTTTCATTTTATTTTCTAATTTCAAAAAAAATTATCAGTTTTTCCAGCATAAAAAATACAATAACTTTGGATCGACTTAAAGTTGAAAGACATTTTTTAAGTCTTTTTTAGCTCTATACAACCATACTTATTATATTTATAAATGTCGATAAAAAAAAATTCTGTGGAATAGCTAGCAAAATTTAGGTGGAAATTACAAAATGAAATTACAAAATGATTTGATTGTCTGGACAAAAATTTGATAATTTACTTTTCAATATTTTTTATTTCAGTCTATCAGTGTTGATGGCCAACCTTTAAATAATTATTTCCAGCTCTCATAAAGCACTATATATAACAATGTTACATATAAGTATATCAACATGAACAGAAGTAAATAAAAAAAATGCTTCATAATTATTTTAGAAAGCTTAGTGTACTTGATCCTTTTTTTTAAGGTTCAAACCATAATTTTGAATAATAATAGTAGAAATAATAATATATATTTTTATCTTAATTTCAAGATTATTATTTTTTATTAAATAACAGATATTGAGTTTTGTGATAAAAACATAGTTTACATCCCAATTTGCAATCACTTAATTTAAGCCTTGTATGGTTTTTTCTCACATGAAAATTTTTTTTTAGTGCAATGACAAAGTTAAACTTAATTTTTTTAATTATTTTTCATACACAGTTAAATTTAAAAAAAAAATTGTATTTATATTTTAATTATGGCTTTTTGGTTATTTGGTTTGCACAGCTGTTTCATTTGTCAGGGTTTGTGTTAGAGACTTAGTGCTAAGAGAGGGCCACAAAAACAATTTTTTTTAAAAAAAATAAGCAAACAAACTAATTAAATCCTTAATAGTGGTGGCCTGAACATGAACTCATGTTGATTTCAAATTACACAATCACTTTAAAAGTTTTAAAACTATTTATTTATAAATTAGTAAAACTGGTATCACGCAATTTATTTTATTTCTGTAAATTTGTAGGTTGCAATCCGAATGACTACTACTATCTTAGGTCAAGAATAAACAACGACATAAGTTTTGTGACAACAAATATCAATAATGTTTTTTCGGTGAGTAAATTTTTTTTGTGATTTTTTTTTAGAAAGTTTTTATTATGTCTAAAATTGTGTTTTTTTCAAATTTCAAAGAGTTTTACAAAAATCAATTTTTTTTTTTTCTTGTAATAAAATTTCAGTAAATCTAAGACTCTTTTTTTATTTTAATTAGTTTACTTTTTGCTTGTTTGCAATTAAATATAAAAAATTATAATAAGTAAAATTTAATTGCACGATAACTTCTTATGTTAACTTCTTGCTTTATTTTTCCAAATTGTTTAGCTATATGCTTTGTATATAGTTTTTTGTTTTAATATATTCATTATCAAAAATGTTTGAAACTTCGAAGAAACTTTGGTTTGCTGTTAAATAGTCAACTATTGATTGACTTATTGAAAATATATTTTGAAATTTAAGTAATAAAATATGAAATCATAAATTTTCATAAATATGAAAAACTGAACTTATCTTTCTAAAGTATTATGATAACATCTGTTGCTGTTATGATAACATCTGTTGTTTAGGTAATGTTTTCAACTAGTATCAAATTTATAGAGACACTTGAATTAAGTTATTTTTCAACCTTGTGATGTGAAAAGTTTGAGGCTGTAAAATGATTGATAAGATTGCCTTGCAACATTTATTGTTTTGTTTTTTTATCTTTATCATCGTTCTTTAAAATAGTTTATTGTTTTCATGAAACTTGTTACTATAGCAGCATTATCAAATTAAAAACTAAAATAATTGTAAAATTATAAATGAGATTGACTTTTATTGGTTGCTTTTTTTAACCTTTATTGAAAAAAATGTCTTCTAAGACTTCATTTTATAGTACTTTGATGGTTCAAATGTTTTTTTTTTTTCTGTATTTTTGTTTTTTGTTTTTGCTAAGAAGATAATCTATCATCTCTATTGACAAGTCACAGATGTTGTTATAAGCTCAAAATATTTTAAAAAATGATTTCCATTTGAAAAACCTGTTCTCCAATAAGCATCAAAACTTCCATCATGTTTAAAATAGTTAATTAAATTAATTAACTATTTTAAAAACTTCTAAGATGATCTGATAAAAAAAATTTTGAGCAAAATTTACAAAAAATGACCAAATAAAATATAAAATTTCATAAGAACCTTAAATCTTTCATTTATCAGTTATAAATAAAACTTATTTTTTTATTTAATGTTACTTTTTTTTTTTTTTAAATCATTGTACGCAAATTAAAAAAGTCACAAGCGTTGCGGTTGCGGGAGGCAATGTTTATTGGAGATTTACATGTTTTTTAGTTATTTTTTAAGCAGCAGATTGTTCAGCAAAATCTTTAGCACAAAACAATTGTTTCACTGTTTGCCAGTGAGTAATTGATAAATAATAAGACTTTAGACTGTTCTAGCTTTCATCATAAATCAAGAAAGGGTAGAATAGCACAAAAGTTGCCATAGAAGGCTTAAGCATAATAACATGAAATTGTTAGATATCTGATTAACACACTAAACTACTATTTTAGGATAAACGCACTATAGAGTTAATTTTTTGCCTAACCATGTAAGATGCGTTACTAACATCTAATGGTATACATGTATCAAAAAATACCGTAATGATGTTTTTGTTAAAGGCTTTCCAAAAAAAGGTGTTCACAAGAATCTGTTTTGTTGACTCCATACATAATTCTGTAGGTAAGTTTTTGCTTGCTGTATAGTTTGGTTAGTTTAATTTTCCTAAAGAATATTTTTGTTGTTGAATGAGTCTGTGCTATATTTAGAACAATCAGGTGGCACTTAGCTGATAACTATAGATGGCCTGGACACAATTGCTTTCATAGTCTTTATTTGCTTTGATGAGTAGATGGTTTTGGTACTAGTTAATTTGCTAGTGGTTACCAACCTGGCCTTTGCTCTTAAGTTACATATTTTGAAGATTATTATCTTTTTGGACAATCATTTGCTTTTTACTTTCAAACAATTTACTTAATGCTATTTATATATTATATTATGTTAAAAAAACATGAATGACAGTTACATAAAATACACTTGTTCAATCTTTAAGAAAAAGTTATTATATGTTGAAAAATTCGAGAAGTTATCATACAATTGGAGTATTCCATTTTTTAATAAAAAATATTATTTTTAATATTAAATGGCTTGCTTGTCACAAAATTTAGATAAAATGAAAAAAAGAAATGTCTAAATTTTTTTAAGCTAACCTTTTTAATCAAAATATTGAGCAAAAAAAAATTTTTTGGTTGTTTTTAATACAAAGTTAATAAATAAAACCTAAGAAAAATTTTTTTTTTTTTTTTTTTTAAATGAGTTATTTTTTAAAAATATGCCTTTAAAGCTTTACTTTATCATAATCTTTATACTGTGTTAGCTAGTTATTCATTTTTGTTTCAGTTGCTATAGTTACATAGTAGAAAACCCAAATGAAAAGAGTTTGGGTTAGAAACCCAAATGAAAATAGTTTTATAGAAGTTTTATAGTTTTGGCTTAAGTTTGCTACTTTATTTATTTTGTTGAATAAAATGATTCAATTGATAAGGTTAAAGTTAATTCTATCAAAAGCAACTGTTCTACCAATGTCTATAAAGACCAATCACCATTTGTTACTAGCTTTGGATTTGGAATATTGTTTTTTGTTTAATTGTTATAAATACCTTTATCTTGTGTACTTTGTACAAGCAAGATAGTTTTTTTTTTTTTTTTGGCGAAGCAAAAAAAAAAAAAAACAGTTTGAAGTCTAGAAATAAAAAGAATGATTTTTTTTTTTGTTAACTTTTTTTTAAAGAGGATAGCAAAAATATAAATTGCAGTGTGTTTATAAAATATATTTGTATAATTTTAATGTAATAACAATAATAATGTAATAACAAAGGTTGAATTAAGCGAATGTGAAACGTAAAACCTGGAAAAATATCTAGTATTCAAAATTAGTTTATACAAAACCGTGTTTCTTGTTTTTAAGGGGCGAATAAACTTAAATTTGTAAGAAGAAAAAAACAAACAAACAATAAACTTACGATTGCAAAACTAATAACACTCTTGTCACTAACTACATTACAAAAGTAATAACACTATAATAGTGTTATTACCTTTATAACTTTTAAAATTCCTTCTTTGTTTAAGCAACATAAGTAATCCCAAATTTTAATTGGAGTAGAAAAATGTCTCAAAGAATAAAGTGGATGTTTAAATAATATTTAAAACTTAAATAACTTATAAAAATGTGACAAACAACTTTATAAAAACAGAATGTATTAAAAGTTTGGCATTATAAAAAAAGTTACTAATTTTTTTCTAGATACTTTTCTACTTTAATAAATATTTGGAATTAATAATGTTGTTTGAACAAAGAATGAACTTTAAAAGCAAATTTTTAATAATTTGCCATGGTCTACTTTATTTATACGGCCGGATATTTTACATTTTGAAGAAAAAAATAGAAGGCCAGTTTTCTGGAAAAGTGTTTTTAAGAAAGCAGCTTTGGAAGTTCAAAAAGATGGTTAACAAATGTTGCGTCGTAAATTGTCGTTCAAATTATCATAATTATGGTGAAGTATCTACAGTAGTATTTTCGTTTCCAAAAAATGAAGAGTTAAAAAAATATTGGATTAAATTTGTAAATAGAAAAGATTGGACACCTACTAATTCTTCTGTTATATGCATCAAACATTTTGAAAAAAAATATTATAAGAAAGGTAATAAGAATCAACGTTTTAGATTAATAAAAAATTTAAAGCCTATTCCAACTATTTTTGACTGCACAAATTTGACTGAAGAAGGTTCATTACAACTTATAAAATCTTCTAATTCATTAAGAAAATCACCAACTAAAAGAATATTTCAGCCAGATCAATATGAACAGTTTTTATTGAATGATTTGATTAATAGCTTTAATGATATTACTGAAAGTTTTGCTACAGATGGTTTTTCATTCTTGAAGTATGATGATCATGTAATTTTTTATAAATTGAGTCATAGTACTTTATCTATTCCAGAGGTTACAGAGTGCATTCGTGTAAACAATGAGATGCATGTTAAATTATTTTACAGAGGTTCACCTCTGCCATTACCTCAGTGGTTTTGTCAAGGAAGAGATTGTCGTTTATCTTGTAAAAGTATGCTTCATAATTTTCCTACCTACATTAAATCACAAGCCGAATTTTCATCTGTATTGACTGAATTACAGCAAATTAAATATATGAAAAAACCTATTTATTCAGCCAATATTTTAAGGTATTCACTGATATTACGATATACTTCTATGCAGTCATACCAACTTTTGCGTGAAGAATTGCCTTTACCATCATTATCATTACTTAAAAAAATAACTAGTGGAAATATTGATGCTCTAAGTTGTGCAAAACGTTTAAAATTAGAAGGTAAGATATCTCAAGACATTTGCTTGATTTTTGATGAAATGTACTTGCAAAAATGTGAGGAGTATTTTGCTGGAGAGATGATTGGTAGTGATGAGTCTGGAGAAATGTATAAGGGAATAGTTTGTTTTATGATAGTTGGCCTGAAACAAAACATTCCATATGTGATCAAAACGTCTCCTGAAAAAACAATCAATGCTGAATGGTTGAAAGAAGAAATTTTTGAATGTCTTCGTATTTTAACTGAATGTGAATTTAATGTTAGAGTTATTGTGTGTGACAACCATTCTGCTAATGTTTCTTGTTTTAAAAAAATCCTTTGTGCATTGAATCAACAAGCTGAAGATTTGTTTTTTATTTACAATCTAAAAAAAAATTACCTCTGTTTTGATGTTGTACATCTTATTAAAAACATCAGAAATAATTTGTTAAATTGCAAAAGATTTTTATTTCCAGATTTTAACTTTAATGGATTTAAAGATCCTATAATTGTATGTGGGGGAGAAATTAAATGGAGTACCTTCCACAATATTCATGAAAAAGACCTCACTCTTGATGCTGGTTTGCGTAAAGCACCAAAAATAACAATGACAGTGTTACATCCTGGCAATTTTAAACAAAATGTTTCTTTAGCACTTGCAA